AGACATCATTGACTTTGATTTTCAGCCTAAACTGAAACTTCAAATCAAAAATCAAAAGAAAAAACGTCTTCTTATATCCCCCAATAACACTCCAGGGTTGAAATTTTAAATTTCCAAGTATTTCAACGAGTGCCCTATAAAGGGTTAACAACAATTTTGTGAATATCCAATGAAATGTGTACTTGAACTTCTTGGGATATACTTCATCTTCAGTGGGGACCTCATGCTGCATAAGTGAGAGTAACACAAAAGCCTAACCTTAAATAATAATAAAATAATACAAAATTTAAAATTCTACGTTAATAATAAGTTTATGTCCATAACTGACAGCTGGTTGGTTTAAATGTATAACTGATTCCTCGCTGTCTTATGTCCCGCCAAAACAGCCTGTTTAAACAAGAAATACATCACATTAAAGAAGAAATCACTGCATTTAATAGGACCTTCTTGTTTGTTTGTTCAATTTGACAAGTGAGAGGCTCACCTATGAGAAGTACTGTTCCAACTGCTAACCCACCACCTGTTTGTGAAGACAAAAAACAAAAAATATGATCAGATTTTGAATAATTTCAGTCACATATTAGACACTGTCTTACTCTGAACCTCTCGGAACTAGCCTAGACATAGCTTGGCCAACCTTCCTTCACTCTCCCTTCCAGTCTGCACAGTTGTGTTTTCATCTTTATCAGAAAATACAGCTTTTTAACAGCAGGTATTTTGACTTGTCATAGTAGAAAAAGTACTAATAACAGTAATAATTGCTCTGTTCTATTCAAGTGTCCTAGTAAGTCCCATGACAGTGTGACAACAAGCAAAATACTGCTAACATATCATTTATACACAAAAACCTGCACCAGAAGACAGTAGTGGCCCTTAACAGACACAGGGACACACCTCATTTCAAACATGTCCAACATATTCTCTCCTTAAGAACATTAATTTCTGTACATCATAATGGTTTAGGAACAAACAGAAAGTAATGTCCCTCATAAAATCTACAGACACACTGCTGCATTTACACAGACTCATCATAATCAGGCTTAAGTTTAGCCCAGTTATATCTCTTGTTTTCCCTGGTGTTAATGACATAACAAATGTGTCAGTTGTGATACACAACTCAAATTGTATGTTATGAATCATGTTTCAACTTGAAGAGATACCTGATATCAGCAAGGTGGAGTTTGGCTGCCTTGATATTGAAACATGACATGCCAATTGTATTAAGACATTGGTTTTTTGAGATGACAGTTGTTGCATTAAAATTAATTGAGATTAAACAGGTGTATCAATGTTTTTGGACTATTTTGGTCCTTGGTGGCTACAATTAGTTCAGAATGCTACATTTCTGACATCTGCTTAAGGAGGAACATCTCTATAGACACAACTGCAAAATGTATCTCTGTGGGCCACGGACAACTCAATATAAAACTGTAATATGAGAATAGATTATTGTGTATTGTACCAATAATGCTAACGCCTAACTTTCCTACTTTAACTACAGTTTGTCCTGTCCTAACAGCGACAAAGCTTCATATTCCGTGTTAACTCATACATTTCCCCTTTGAGAAATGAATAACACTAACATTTACAACCAGCTTCGGAGTGTCTACTGACGATACATTGAGAACCACGGTTAGCTTGTGTAGCCAGTGTTAGCGTTACCGAGCAGATAGTCGAGAGACGTGACACCGGTGGAAACTAAGAGTTGTCCGTTTTGAACCGACGGTCTGGTACCAGGTATGGAGATTAACCTGCTCCTGGTTTTCTTCTGAAAACTGGTAGTATTGAACGGTGAGCGCTCAGCGGAGGGTTTCCCCACACTGCTAGTGGGAGCTGCCATGCTGGTTCTAACGTGCTGACGCCTGTGGATGTTTTGGAGCGTGTTGTCCAATCAGAGAAGACTTTGCTGGTGCTCGACCAATCGGAGCGGCGATTGTAACGGAGCGCTTGGACGCTGTGAAAAGGAAGTGGAGTTTGTTTTGAACTGCATGTTCGGAGGAGCACTGAATCAGCCAGTAGGTGAGTACACCTCTGTTCATGAGGTCACTTTATTTATCTTTATTCTGTTTACGACAACGTGAGTGTATATGGACTTGGCAATGATCCACAGTTATTCCATACATTAAACAGTCACCTAACGCATGGCTCTGACTCTGACCTTGTTGGTTCATTGTACAGGACACACGTACAGAGCCAGAATATTGTTGTGTTGTATCGTTTGCAACCACAGACCATCTGTTGGTTAGCAACCAGGCAAGAATGAACTACAAAACTGTAAAAGTATTATATTCTAGGTGCGAGAATATATGATATATCACACGATGGCCACTTTATATAGCCTAGTAAGTAAATGAAAGAGAACATAGCCTACGTATATGAATGGGGAAATGATGTTCAGTGAGCAGGAATCAGTCGTACACTTAATTACTTCAATGCATTATTGATTACTTTGAGTGCCACTATGTTTATCACAGACACAGCAACCTGTAAATGAGTGATATTACTCACAACTGTATGTAAAGCAGCCTTAACTGCCAGAGTTTGCTTTTTATGATTCACAGTGTGTGCAAATATTTTAAAATTTAACACACAAAGTAGCAAATTACTAAAATGTTTAAATAGAAAAGAAATGCTTGTTGCTGGCAAATGCCAAATGCCAAAAATAGTATCTTATGATGTTGGTCACAGTGTATCACTATATAAAGTACTGTGCTGCAGGAGAGTATATGACTTTATCCTATTATATTAACTATTATATTATATTATATTAGATTAGATTGGCCTTTGTAGCAACCGAATTAATGAATCTGTTGATCTACTAACTTACATGCTTAGGTCATAGTAGGTCTTATGTAACGTTATATAATAAGTCATCAATTGCAGTTGTACAAATGCATCAGAGCAGCTTTATGTGCCTGTGCATGTGGTAGCACCAAACACAGTTTATTTGTGGGTATATACGCACTGTGGATCCTTGTGCGTCACTTCCCCAATCACATTCAGTTTGGAGGGCTCAGGAGGTGTAAAGGTGAGGGAAGCAATGCTCGGAGCACTGCATGCATACAGTAGGAAGCCACTGCAGCTTAAGGATAGCTGTGGATGGACGTGGTGAGCTCCAGCAAAACCTTAACAGTTTTGAAGTTGAAAAAGTTGATAATGCCAACACAGAACAGCTTACAACAATTCAGCTGAGTGTAACCTGATGATGAACTGCTGGTATTCTCATTTTTAAACTGGAACATTAGAATCAGTTTAGATCCAACTAGTCTTCTTGAAAAGGTATGTGGAAAATATACATTAGATATTTGGGCCTCACAATTAATTGAAATATTATCGACAAGAAATATGGCCAAGTGCAATATCCACATCGCAGAGGCTGCAATTTTTTGATAAAGGTAAAATGTATGACAAAACAGTATTATAATGAAGTACTGTAGTGCTGCAGAGAGCCCTGGTCTATTAATCGTTTGAGAATGGGTACAATAAAATTGTAGATTTTACCATTGTTAAAAACATTTTATTTAAGTGCAGTAATTACATTTTATATAATCATTGATCTAATTTTGTCTTGGAGTGGTCCAGAATACTCTCTTAATATGTTCAAATATGAGCCTATTGTGCACAAATCAAGTATTGGAACATTAGAATTTTTGTAAAGGTCCAGTGTGGAACTTTTAGGAAGATTTATTGACATAAATGAAATATGACATTCATAAGTATGTTTTTATGAATGTATAATCACCAGAAAATAATAACTGTTGTGTATGGTTACGTTAGAATAAGCCATTTTTATCTTTAGGGTTATGGGGTCTGACTGTATCTGGTTTTACTGTATCCAGAAGTGGCTCTAGAAAAGGCCTTTGACATTTTTTTTGTGCAAGTTTTGAGGCCACTCTACTTAGCTACATGCTTGGAACGGGAGGGTGAGGTGAAAAGCTTCAGCAACTACACTGGTAGAGGGGGCGGCTGTGGCTCCGGAGGTAGAGTGGGTCGTCCACTAATCAGAAGGTTCAATCCCCAGCTCCTCCTGCTGCATGTCGACGTTTCCTTGAGCAAGAAACTGAACCCCAAATTGCTCCAGATACTGTAAATGTATGTGTGTGAATTCCCTTAGTGTCCGTTTCTGATGAGCAGTTGGCACCTTGTGTGGCAGCTGCTGCCATTATGTGAATGTGTGCAGATGAGGTGAAAGTGATGTAGTGTAAATCGCTTTGAGTAGACAGAAGACTAGAAAGGCGCTATGTAAGTACAGTCCATTTACCATTTAGATGCCACTAAATCTTGCACAGTGCTTGAGTACATTTTGACTGCCCCTCTGTGTGCTGAAGTCTCCAACATTAAAACTGATTACTCTCATGATAAGTAAAATACTTTGTATTCATGCATGAGTTTGTAAGGGAGGTTCAGCACTGAAATGTGGAATGCAGTGCAGCATTTTGTTCAGCAGCTAATTGATCTGTTTCATGGGAGACTTTTTTTCAGACGATTATACACTAATGAAAACATACTAATGCCTATTATATTCCATTTCTGCCAACAGATCCTACTAATTGTTCCACACTAGAACTTTAAGCAAATGCTGGGAGAAAGGCAAGTTTCTTTTGTACTGTATAATGTCCACTATTAATACTGGCTGACTGATGAGAGGTCGGTCTAATCCTTAAGACAGCTGTAAAAAAGCTTTGTGTGGCGGAGAAAGGCCAGAGGCAGCACAAGATCACAGGATACTGTAAGGCTCCAGAGGAAGTAATAGCCCAACTGCTCACTTTACAAATGCTCTCAGCAGAGGCAGTCCTGCTGTTTTGACAGCACTGTTGAGATTTATATGTGCTGACAGGAGACCAAGGGAATATATCATGACTGACAACACTGGGCATTGTGGAAAGCCTATATGAGACGCATAAGATGCGCTGACTGAACTGCATCTCAGAAGGAGGAGAGCCTGCTTCAGCAGTGCAACGTGCAGGATGTAGGAGTACACTGCTGTGGAAATTTCCGCACATCCTCTGCACAGTGCCAGTCACCTCATTTCCAATTCTCTTAAATCCCAATTTAACCCACACTGTAGTACAATTCAGTTTGTGGTAGTGTAAACACAGTAGGCTAACTGTACAAAAAGAATACCCCCCCCCCCTTTCATTGCGTCAGTGTCATCTGTGCATGTGTGTGTTTTTCTGCAGTTTTATCACTCTCTGTATCTGATTGAGCTATATAATGGCAGTAGTCATAACATGTCAGACCTTTCCTGGTCAGGGTGTTTTGGTTTCTTCAGTATAATTGTGCCATCAGTGTGGAACTGCGAGAAGCAGGAGACTTCTTGTGTCCGGGGGATGCAAGATTATCATCAGCATGCACCATATTTGTTTTGTTAGCGTTGAAAGTAAAGTAATATTCTAAGGCCACAAGTGCAATAAGCGATGGGTTTTGTACACAGCTAATTTTGTCTAAGGATTGGACTTTTTTCCATTTATTCCACATCTTCCACATCATATCTTTATTTTGATTTCCTGCTGTTTGTTTTTTTGCAGACATGCGAGACATATTTAGCTTGACCTACAGGACAGAGAAAAATAAAATAATACATAAAACATGCTCATTCAGAATGAAAGGAAATCACATTCTTAAAAATCATAGGTTTGCTTTTGGGTTGAGGTGTCTGTCATTAGCTAGTGTTAAAATATATCAGGCTTTGTCATGAGCTGGTGAGTGCAAAACACAAACTCCTTTGTCAATCTGATACAACATCAGATAAGATCTCTCAATTCTCTCAGCACCAGGCCAGCACCACGCGTTTGCTTGTGGTCAATACAATAAGGCTTAGTGGCTGATTTTTCCATTCTGTATAATTGGCTGGGGACTCTGTCAACCCACACTTCCTTTCAATTCATAGCAGTTGTATTCATATCACTTGGCTATTATTTGCTCTGGCTGACCCATTGATTGTAGGTTTAAACCCTCAGCTCCTCAAATAGTAACCTCGCTCAGCTGTTTCACGGCTGTGTTGCCGTTAGCAACAATGAAAAGAGCAATATGGAGATCAGTTGCTTCAATTAAGCCTCTGATAAAAGGCAGACGTAGAAAAGATGTGGGCTAGACATAGTACTCTGTGACTGGGACTTCTACATCTGTCACCCTCCATCCAGCCAGGTGCCTGTGTCTAAATCAGCAGGATTATCTCTGATTGGACTGATAGTTGAAACAGACCCCCCTGGTTGCCTAACCTCCTCCTTTTTATAGTTCACATTAAGATCAAATCAAGCTCAGCGCAACAGGACTAATGCCCCACCCTCCTCTGCCTTCTGCTGCCCAGAGGAGAACATCAGAGGTGGGATTCGTCCCCTCTCCGGTGCTGCCTGCTCCTCCAGACTCCCTTCCATCTGGGATCCTCAGGGAGAAGAAGAATATCTGACAAGGGGCTTGTAAGCCTCTTAGCCCCCCTGTTGCCCAGCTCTCTCTCAGCCCATGTTTTCCTAATTTAGTTGTGTAAGGAGTCCACTGCAAGGGCCTTACGCACTGTTTGGATTGAGATTCTCTTTGTGGTTCTAATAGACTGGCCATGTATATCAATTAACACTACTCAGCCAATGGCAGGTTCAGATCTCTTGAGACCAGTAGCGGTAATTCCTTTTGGAATATTTCCTTATGGCTTCAATAATGTGTGTTTGTTTAGGTGTCAATTTTGATATGTTCTTATTGACTTTGTTTTGAACTTTTTTGTTTTTTTGCTTGCTGCTCCTACATACTGTTATCCCTTTACATAGTTTCCAGTGAAGTATTCCAATGATAATTGGCAAAGGTCGGTGGAACTGGCTGTGTAACTTCATCAAATTATCTTTATTTTTTTATTATTTATTTATTTTTTTTATTTG